TGACCCTTCGAACACTGGGGTCCTTATAGAGACCCACACGTCAACGCTGCTTGGGAAACTGTAGATTAGTTATCGTCACCCTTATGCCTTATCCAGAGGGGCTTTCCCAATGAGAGGTAATTGCACTGGACAACGATGAGGCTGAAGATACCCAGAGGGGCTTTCCCAACGAGAGGTACTTGCACTGGGGTAAATTAATTCCAGAGGGGCTTTTCCAACAAGAGGTACTTGCCCTGGTTTAAGTCTGCCTTTGCTGCGGCTTGCAGCGCAATTTATATCAATTTATTGCTGAATTGCAATAAACATCCGATCGAATCCGTGGTCCTCCTTTCCTTAGCAGCTAGTTGACAATATGAATGATATTCATCATCAGTTCTTCACATTCTAGATAAATACTCATGTGAAAATCTAGATTTATTCCGTTGTGGAGATTTCAATAGGCCTAAGGTCTCATGGATCCAGAGTGATGATGGAACTAGACCCATTGGACTTAATAGCGAAGAAACAAACTTTCTTGCTGATTGTATGGCATTTTGTGGTTTGTCACATAATTAAATCAAATACCAAATCCTTATGGGAATTTTTAGGATCTCATCTTTAGTAATAGTGAAAATGTTTTAATCACTGCCAGTTTAAATCCTGTCTCAAGGATTGATATACTCCATCCAGCTCTTGAGTTTGAAATTAGTTTGGACTATGAAGTTAACTTAGCTTATGGACTACTGGTAGTTTAACTTCAAGCAATGTAATTACAATATTTTGCAACAGATTTTTTCGCTGGCTGATTGGGACAATAATATTCTTTTAATACACGACATTGATAAAGTATGCGAATTATTTTACAAAAATCTGAATCATGCCATTAAGTTATCTACACCATTAAACAGGCACAAAAATCCAAAGTTTCCAAAATGCATGGATGATCGACTTAAAAATCTAATTCTGAGCAAGAAAAGAGCACATAAAGCATAGAAACAATCACTTTCTTTGGAAGATTATATTACTTTTTCTCAAATACGCACTCAGTGTCGTGAATATGCCCATTTAAGCCATCAAAGGTAATTAGATAACATAGAGGATAAGATACAGGACAAAAATGGTTTTTAGAGTTACGTAAATTCGAAAAAAAATGCTACTAATATTTTCATGAATGAAAATGCTGACACACCACTTGGTATTGCTGAGCTCTTTAAAAGGACCATTTTTCGTCTGTATATGCGGAATATGATGATGAAACCGAATTTAATCCCTCCTATGACTTAACCGTAAATCTAAGTAGTATTAAGTCAGATAGAATAAATCATTATCTCTTCGAGCGTTTCCAAGATGCTGGAAACTGTCATGTCACGCCAATACACAAAAGTGGTAACAGATGTAACATTGAGAATTACAGACCATAATTGCTAAAACATCAATTTTTTCAAAAGCTTTTGAGGCAATTGTCACTGATAAGATCACACCTCTATTTAAGAACATCATCATACCAGAGCAACATGGATTTGTCAGGGGAATATCCACAGTTTCAAACCTGTTAATCTTGGAGCAAACCCTGTTTGGAGCCTTGGAGCAAGGTCATCAGGTGGATGTAATTTACACAGACTTCTCCAAGGCATTTGACAGGGTTGACCACAGGATTTTGGATGCAAAACTTGCGTCCCTGGGAATTCATGGTATTTTTCACAAATGGCTAGTCAGCAATCTTACAGATAGAATTCAAAAAGGTTAAAAATATCAATGACTGTTTGACCCTTCAGGAGGAACTCAACGGATATTTTCAAAATAGGTCGTACTTTAGTGCTAGAATGCTAGTGTACAGTCAGCACTCACAGTTCCGGGACAGCTGGCTCTGTGACGCGGGCAAAGTTGTAATTTTAAGAAGCATCTAAACTGTTTTCTCAAAGCTCAAAATTTATAGAAATTTTGCACATTATCTGTTTGAAGGTCACAGATAACGTATGTAAATCGTCAGACGTCTAGTTCGTTGCAAAAAGGGGGTCAGACATCCTCAAAGTTTTTATTTTATGGCATTTTCTTCAAATATATTTGTCAAATACCTGCAAAAATATATTTTGACAGGACACCGAAGAAAATGCCATAAAATAAAAACTTTGAGGACGTCTGACCCCCTTTTTGCAACGAACTAGACGTCTGACGATTTACATACGTTATCTGTGACCTTCAAACAGATAATGTGCAAAATTTCTATAAATTTTGAGCTTTGAGAAAACAGTTTAGAGGCTTCTTAAAATTACAACTTTGCCCGCGTCCCAGAGCCAGCTGTCCCGGAACTGTGAGTGCTGACTGTACACTAGCATTCTAACACTAAAGTACGACCTATTTTGAAAATATCCGCCTTGCGAAAACTCTTGCATGTTTTTGACGCCAGCTCCCCAACTACTAATTTACTGAGCAACTTTCATTAAGGTCACTTTTTCGTATACGAGGTAATTAGAAAGTTACAGGTATTATACGCGACTTTTTTGCCACTCTGTATATTTAAGTCGTTTTTTTATTATTTCTTATCTGAGCCTGAGGCCCTGATGGATCGCCCCCCCTAGAAGGAATCCTAAATCCGCCGCTGCTCAGTTTACTGAGACTACGGTGACAGTGTGGTGAATCCTTTGGGTGAATCAAAGTTCACAAAAAAGTAAACATAGCAAACCAGTATGTGCGGTGGAATTGCAGTTAATTTTGTTAACTTATCCAAGGCGAGACGAACTTTTCACTACTAGTGGACTTTTTGCTCCTCTCAAATTTTGATTGCTGTAGTGCCATAACATAATGGCTCATTTCCCGATAGGGTTTCATAAGGCAAACTTGCTTATTTTGATACCTTTCTCTCCTCTCTGCAACCCCTATCAATTTGTCACAATAATTATGAAACACCCTGTATAATCTTCATTACTATATCAGGGCGCTATGGGCATCGACAATGGTATAAACTTTGGAACCAATCTACAAGCTTCAATAGTGCACCTATATTCGGAAACGATTTTGTGTCATCATTTTCATGAATTATTGACCAGATTCTACTTCCATATCTACAGCCTGAAAATCTAAAATTAAACCTTACCTTGAGAGTGTCATTGAACTTGACTTTATAATACACTCATTATCATCTTCATCTAACAAACCCAATTCAAAAGATTCATTTGATTGTGGTGATTGTTCATTGGTCTTCTTTTACATAGTATACCTACTTGATTCTTGCAAATTGGGGATTTACCTGTATGCCCAATCTGTCCACAAGCGTAACATTTCCAAGTTACTGCTGGACATTTTTATGTATATCAAGTTAGCAATACCACATGCACGCCGGAAAATGGTGTTGATCCTGGTAGTGCTGCTAACTTGATATCAAGTTAGCACTAGCAACATCACCCGATATTCCTACAGAAGTTTTATTAAGTGAATAATTTGTCAATTTTGCTCCATCTGCTTCACCTCCTATCAAGGTGAGTATAGCATAGCAACCTTTTTGTTATTTGCCACAGTATTGCACTCAAACAATTGCTCCAACCTTTCCAAATATACGATAATTTCTTTTTCCTACGAGCGTGCGCAAAGTAGTACTTTTCCGCACGCATTTCCGGGCTCAAAGTTACACTTTTCCGCACTCAGTGCGGATACAGGCCTTATCCGCACTGAGTGCCGAAAAGTAATTATAATTGTCAAGCAACAATAAGTGCACCTGTCGACTTTGACACATGATGACAAATTTTTCCTCTGTTTCTATATCAGCCAACATCTATACAAACACCAAATATAAATTAACTTTGACACATTGTCAGATTTGTTCTCTATTTTTATGCAAAAATCTACAAACTTTCTCATCAAATTTGAACGCTTTAAGATGAACAGCTCTGACGAGGATTTTCTGTTATTTTTTTTTTGTTATGTAATTTTTTGATAAATGCATATAGGTTCCCTTCAAGTTAATTAAAAATAATTAAACAAATTATCGTTTTTTTCTTTTTAAATTTTTGTTATTATCTACCTGATATGAAGCTCGTAGGAAAAATTTTGTTCCTAACACGTGCGCAAAGTGTCTTTTCCGCACGCAAACACGTATCCGAACTCCGCTGCGCGTCGTTCGTATAACTGTGTTTGCGTGCGGAAAAGTAACACTTTGCGCACTTGTTAGGAAAATAACTATTTCTTTGGGGTTGAATTGTTCAACATTTTCGACTAAAACCATTGCTTTTTATGTTTTACAGACTGACTAGACTATTTGACTCTTGATTCGATAATAAAAATTCATTGACAAAGCAATCTTATAATATAATAACTAAATATAAACAATATGTTTGCTACAAAGTTAATTTTAAAAGACCTAAATTAAACACACAAAACATTTTTATATGTCACGATTAAGTAAAGAGACGAAAATACTTAATACACAAAAGAAGAAACAAACAGTTATAAAGTACTTACATAAAAAAGTATATCTACTAATAAACTAATTATTATCAATAGAACAACATCGGCAACATCGGTAACCCCCTAGGTAGTGACGATTTTAATATAAAAACAAATAAATCACTAAAAGATATATTAGGGCTTAGTAACTATTGCAATAAAATAGAAAAAATAAAAAGTTTAAAAACTTAAAAAGGTTAAAGAGGTCAAAGCTGAAAGCAGCAGAGTAATATAATACTAAAAAACTAAAAAAATGTCTCAAAAAATAAACAAAACAGAATAAAATCAACAAATAAAACAACCAAAAACAATTACGTTTTTGAAAAGTACCTACCCGCAATTAAAAACACGCAGTAAACATCAAATCACTTCTAGGTGTGCAAATTTCGAGCTGCTTTCTCGTACATAATGTTATATGTATCCAAACTTCAAAATGATACACGTTTAATAACCAGAAAACGTTAATTCTATTAGAAGGACACTAAATTATGAAGAACACAAACCTAACGTTTTTACCTGCCTAGTGTAGTGATAAAACCAAGGTTCAAACACTACAATTTCCTTAATAAAAACAACAATAATTGTTGAAAAATAAGTGTATATTATAAACATTATTAAACAATAGTTACCCAGTCAATCAATAATCTATAAATACAATTTGTGTAAAAAGTTAATTTATGTCTCAATAATAATTATTTCAGCAATATATGGCTTTTTCAATTGCATGATTTTTCTCCTACTTATATCACACTACAGATTCGTTTAAGTACAACAGCAACATAATTTAACAAACCCTAAATGTCAAAAACCCTGCATTAACAAAAAAAATAAATAGGGTAACATTCTACTGAAAAATTCCTACATAATAAGGCTACATTATTCCGGAATAAGGCAATCGATTTGGACGGTTCAAAATACAATATTTAATACTTATTGGTTTCTGATTATGGCAATAATTCCATAACTAGGTTTTTTTTTTTTAAATATATGTATTGTTGACTCTCTAATAGAGCCAATAATAAAGTGCTTATATTATAAATAAATTTAACTTATTTTATAAAGGGTGTAGAGACAATACATATAAATATCAGATCTGAGTTGAAGTCTATAAACAATTTCAATGGAATGTAATATTTCAAATTTCATATTGCTTAAATTACTTTGATTTATTCAAGTCATCCTTAATTAAAGCTATATATAACAAGAATATACATTTAAGTACACTTAATAATTTGTATGTTTGGCTCCTCTCATAAGAGGCACAAGTAAAGCTGGAGGTCCAGCTTGCCTTAAAAACGGATGTGCCAACAATTCTTGAGCAGAAGCTCTTTGAGCCGGATCTCTTACCAGCATTCTATCCAAAAACGATTGAAGTCTTGGCGAAACTTTATGGGCATTTTTTAGTTTTGGTGGGGGCATTTCTCTGATCCTCCTCATTGCTTGTAAAGGAGGTTCATTGAAAAACGGTGGCTCACCATCAACCATTTCAATAACCATAATACCCAAAGACCAAATATCAACTTCTGGACCATAAGGTAACCGGGAAATTACTTCTGGAGACATCCAATAAGGTGTGCCAACTAGAGATTTTCTTTTGGGAAGTTCTTGAGATACTTGAGCACAAAATCCAAAATCAGACAGTTTCACTCTGCCATCCAAAGCCAAAAGTATAGAGTCTGACTTTATATCTCTATGAATAACACCTTGAGAGTGTAGATAAGCCAAGGCTTTCAGACATTGTTTGCAAACTGTTGCAATTTGTTCCTCGTCCATTCTTGAATGTGTTACAATATCAGTCAAAGCGCCACCTTCTAAAAACTCCATAACCACCCACAATTCGTCATTTACAAGATAGCTGTCAAACATTTCCACAATATTCGGATGGTGGTAGTCGCGCATGATAACTACTTCGTTGAAAAGGAGCTCGCGCCTTTGCTGCTTTCGCAAGTCCATCTTTTTGACTGCCACTTGTCGGCCGGTGTTTCTGTCGTGCGCTATGCACACGGTACCAGTGGAACCTTCGCCGATTTTGACGAAACGTTCCAGATTTTCGCGAGGGTCTTTTGATGATACTACCATTTGAAGAGCTGCACGGAACTAAAATAATGATGATTATTTACTTAGAAATTACAAATATCAGAAATATGAAATTTTGAGGAGTTATTTTTAAGGTTTTGGAGCAAAACATACTTAAGATTTCAAAGGAATTGAGCTGCAAACAACAAAGTTATAAATAATCTAGAAAAGTGCACTTTTTTAATGAAATAAAACTTTACCAAGCCTTCACCTTCTAATTATTTATCCAAAAACTACAAATGGCAGAAATATGAAATTTTGGAGACCAAATCTCGGAATAATTTAGTGTATGGAGTTTGGGGGGTCCCCAATGATCATTTAGACACAAAATCCCAACATAAAAAAATTTGAAATTTCATCATTTCAGTACTAAGGTATGATTTGGATTTTTTAAACATTTTGAAGACCCATAACTTTTTTTCTATTACAGATAGAAAGCTGAAATTTTCAGCGATTCTTATTCCAGTAGAGGACTACAATCCTTAAAAATTTCAGCTCATTTGGACTTATAGTTCCAGAAATAGAACCGCATTAAGCAATTTGGGGTAAAATCAATCATTCGATTTTTCTGAGTACCTTTTCCGAGACCTTTTCCCATAGATTCCGGCTTCAAATCTCAGAATAATTTAGTGTATTGAGTTAAGGGGATCTCCTCAGGGATAATCAATGACCATAAAGACACAAAATCTAGACATAAAAAAATTTCAACATCTAGTACTAAGCTACCTTATGATTTGGATTTTAAAAAACTTTAAAACACCCATAACTTTTTTTCTATTATAGATAGAAAACTGAAATTTCCAGTGATTCTTATCCCAGTAGAGGACTACAATCCCTGGAAATTTCAGCTCATTTGGATTCATAGTTCCAGAAATAGAATCGTGTTAAGCAATTTGGGGTAAATTTATCAATAATTCAATTTTTCTGAGTGCCTTTTTCCATAGATTCCGGCTACAAATCTCAGAATAATTTAGTGTATGGAGTTAAGGGGATCTCCAATAATCATTAAGACACAAAATCTTGATATAAAAAAAATTGAAATTTCATCATTTTAGTACTTGAACCGAGGGGGCGACCACTTCCCGCAATACGTGTACATTTGGCCTGAAATCACTTGCAATCATCTCCGAAATCATTCTGAAATCCCGCAGTCAGTTCGCAATATCCGAAATCCTTCTTGCAGTCCCGAAATCGTTGTCTGCAATCGTTGAAATCCTATGCAATCACCTTTGCAATCTCTTCTGAAATCGCTCAAAATCAGCTCTGGTGGGGATAAAAAATCAGCTGTTGATCGGGATTTTGCCCATTTTTGAGGTACATTGATATCAGGCTCAATATCAGGTTTTTGTTGCTCCCATTTTTGAATTCAGCACACAACAGTGTTTTTTTTTTTTTTGAAGAATCAAATGCTGGATCTGATGTAAAACAAGTGGAAATGTGATTTCATTATCCAATGAAAAATATTATGCAGCTCTTTATGACACCTGGTATATTGGACGTATTTCAGAATCATTGGAAAATGATACTTGAATCAAGTTTTTAGAGTGGCAGCTGGACATGTACAGGGTGGCCCATTTCCGATGTTTTAATGGGCAATATCGAAAACCAGCAGAGATTTTTTTTGAGGAAATAACAATAGAGAAGACGAATCAAGGCTAAATCGCCTCGCAATCCTCCGAAATTGCCAATTTTTAGAAAAATTGTTCGAAATCGCTGCAAACATTTGGAAATCATGGGATTTCTGCAATACATGTAGGTACAGGGTATTTGATTATATTTGGCATCATACCTACAGTCTTTATTATTTAAGATAGAAAAAAAATTTAAATACAAAACTTGGCAGTTTTTTTCTATATTTTCTTTTAACGTTATCAGAAAAAACAATATCGCATTGGAAAAGGGAGAAACGTAGACAACTTAAACTTTTTTTAATGAAACACCCTGTATATTTGGCGATAAAATGAAAGATAAACGACCATGATCTACACTTTAAAAAGATTTTTGTTTATGTGGTGTTGTCGCTTCTACTCTTAACCAGTGGCAACATCGCTATTTTAAATGGAATACTCTGTATGTGATTGCATATTTGGATTCTACGTAAAATTGTGAGCTGATTTCATGTGATATACCCTATACCTAGGTTCAACTGTTTTGGAAATATTGACAGTTGAAAATTGACTTTTTGCAACTTTGACAGGCTGTAAAACCTGAACGGTTAATTTTAGAGAAAACCCTATTTTACATTCCTATCTTAGATTTTCATGAACTATCATTTGACACCAACTTTGAATTTAACCGGAGATTAAATTTAATTGGAATTTTTAATCATGGATTAAATTCAAAGTTGGTGTCAAATAATAGTTCATGAAAATCTAAGATAGGAATGTAAAATCGTTTTTTCTCTAAAATTAACCGTTCAGGTTTTACAGCCTGTCAAAGTTGCAAAAAGTCAATTTTCAACTGTCAATATTTCCAAAACAGTTGAATACCTAGGTTCAACTATTTTGGAAATATTGACAGTTGAAAATTGATAGGGTATATCACATGAAATCTGCTCAGAATTTTACGTAGAATCCAAATATGCAATCACATACAGGGTGTTCTATTTAAAATAGCGATGTTGCCACTGGTTTAGAGTAAAAGCGACAACACCACATAAACAAAAATATTTTTAAAATGTAGATCATGGTCGTTTATCCCGGTTGCCAAATTTTCAAAAAGATCCGCTTTTTAGTTCTCCATAAACGTCTAATACGCCATCCACCGTGGGACACCCTGTATATATATTGATTACATTTGAGTGAGCCGTTTTTGACATATATTAACTTAAATTATAAATAATTTGCAAAGAAATTTCATAAGGATGTCAAGACATTTAAATCCTTATACAATTTCTTTGGATTTTATTTATAATTTAACCTAAGATATATCAAAAACGGCTTACCCAAATGTGATCAATATACAGGGTGTCTCTAAAAGGTCTTTACAAAATCATAGCACATATTCCCAAGGTCAAAATAAGTCGATTTGAAGCAACTTACCTCAGTCCGAAATTGCTCCGTTTCCGACATACAGGGTGGTAAAGTTGAAAAATCAAAATCGAATTTTTCAAAATTTATGAACACATCTCGATGGATTGCTCTAAAAATTGGCACCTAGGGGTTTTTTGGGACGCGAAACCCGAATATCGACACCTTTTAACTATGGCCACTAGATGGCGCTTCACAATGCTCTTCTTATGGTTTAAAATGGCCGTAACTTTTTTCTCAGTGTAATTTTTCACTTTTTTTGGTAAGTAAATAATTGTGTCAACATTTTCAGACAAAAAAGGTATGCTTGTCATAATCCGTTTAAGTGAGCCTTCTGTGAGATATTTCCGTTTTTGTTGTCCGATGCCGCACCAAAATTATTGAAATTATTTTGAATAAAAAAAATTTTTCAGTACCTTTAGGAATGAAAAGTGGTCAGTGAATTACAAATGCGAATGTTTTCATTTGTTCGAATGTTCCTTGGACCAAAATAAGGTGATTTAAGCAAACTTACTTTATTACAAAGTTGCTTAGTTTGGGCGCTATTATAGGCCCCGAAGTTATAATTTTAAAATAGTTTTTTTAATAAACTTTGAACAGTTTGTTCGATTTTGCTAAAATTTGATATGGTGGCATAGCTTCACGTGGCAAAAACACCGATATCAAAATTATTGATAATACAGTCCATGGGCGGAGGTCTAGGGTTTTTTATTAATTGCATGTCTTGAATTTCTACGCCAATGAAGGAAAAGGGATTTGGGCATGAGGTTTAGATTAACCAAATTATTTACCACAAAAAAGGTACTCTTGATGAAACTTGATTACTCTCATGGTTTTTGCGAAAATTGTAAATAGTTCGCTGTAATTTTACAGAAAAAAAAATAAGTTGCCAATGTAATGAATTATGAATACAAATAAATAAATAAAGATATCATAAATACTGTTCAAAGTGTCCACCATTTGCACGTATACAAAGATTTATACGACGAAGAAAATTAAAATGTACTCTTTGCAAAACTTCTTCATCAGCTCTAAGATTATTTGTTACATCTTGAATACGTTGCCACAGTTGTTCTTCATTATCTACTGGTGTCATGTAAACCATGGACTTGAGATGTCCCCAAAAAAAATAGTCCAATGGTGTTAAGTCCGGAGAACGTGCAGGCCACTTGACAGGGGCGTTATCACCTCTACCTATCCATTTATTTGGGTACTGCCGATTTAAATAGTTTCGAACATTTAATGAAAAATGTGGTGGAGCTCCATCGTGCATAAACCACATATCTCTCCGAAGTTCTAAAGGTAAATCGTCTAACAAATCTCGCAAAGTTCTTCGTAGGTGTTGACGCAAATAAATTTCAGCCGTTAACTTTTGGGGGAGACGGACAGGACCAATTATAAAATTACCGATTATTCCAGCCCATACATTAATTCTAAATTCGTGTTGAAAATGATTTACCTTGATTGCATGCGGATTTTCATCTGCATAAACATGTTCATTATGAAGATTCGTTACCCCTCTTCTTGTAAAACATGCTTCATCGGTGAACAAGATATTGTTGCCAAAGTTTAAATTTCTTTCTCTTTGCCCATTAACAAACTGACAAAAAACCAGGCGCATTTCAGGATCATGCTGTGATAGATCTTGAACTGACATTTTATGGTATGGATGTAACAACTGTTCTTTAAGTACTCTATGGACGACATCTTTGGATACTCCCATTTCCCTACCTACTCGTCTGGTACTTACTTCTGGCTCGTCTTCAACACGTTCCAAAATTTCTTCTTCTACTTCAGGAACCCTGACAAAAGGCTGCCTTCCATAATCAGTGGTTTCTGGTGCAAAGCGGCCAGTCTCCCGAAGACGCCTCTCAACAGCAGCAAAAGTTGGGTGGCTTGGTATACGACGATTTGGGAACCTCTCGGAGTACACCCTGACACACTCTCGACCATTTCCTTGACAATATCCAAATACTAATAACATATCGGTATATTCTGCATTGGTGTATTGTACGGCCATGATAGATCAAGAAAATGTAAATTTTTCTTGTTTATTAGGGAAAATAAAGTTTAACGTTATTAAAAATTGAGTGTGGTTTAAATTTGATTATTTCCCACCTGTCAATTTGAACCAATCAAAAAAACGGATATTACCCCCGACAATGGTTTTATTTACAAAAAAAAACATAAACAATGGAATGTGGCACTGCACCGCCGACTGAATGAGCATGTTTGTTGGTCTTTTTACCTTAAAATAAATTTGAAAAACTATTTTTGCTAACATATTTTTTTGTAAAAACTACATCGAATTATTAAAATACAATTTTCGCAAAAACCATGAGAGTAATCAAGTTTCATCAAGAGTACCTTTTTTGTAGTAAATAATTTGGTTAATCTAAACCTCATGCCCAAATCCCTTTTCCTTCATTGGCGTAGAAATTCAAGACATGCAATTATTAAAAAACCCTAGACCTCCGCCCATGGACTGTATTATCAATAATTTTGATATCAGTGTTTTTGCCACGTGAAGCTATGCCACCATATCAAATTTTAGCAAAATCGAACAAACTGTTCAAAGTTTATTAAAAAAACTATTTTAAAATTGTCACTTCGGGGCCTATAGCGCCCAAACTAAGCAACTTTGTAATAAAGTAAGTTTGCTTAAATCACCTTATTTTGGTCCAAGGAACATTCGAACAAATGAAAACATTCGCATTTGTAATTCACTGACCACTTTTCATTCCTAAAGGTACTGAAAATTTTTTTTTATTCAAAATAATTTCAATAATTTCGGTGCGGCATCGGACAACAAAAACGGAAATATCTCACAGAAGGCTCACTTAAACGGATTATGACAAGCATACCTTTTTTGTCTGAAAATGTTGACACAATTATTTACTTACCAAAAAAAGTGAAAAATTACACTGAGAAAAAAGTTACGGCCATTTTAAACCATAAGAAGAGCATTGTGAAGCGCCATCTAGCGGCCATAGTTAAAAGGTGTCGATATTCGGGTTTCGCGTCCCAAAAAACCCCTAGGTGCCAATTTTTAGAGCAATCCATCGAGATGTGTTCATAAATTTTGAAAAATTCGATTTTGATTTTTCAACTTTACCACCCTGTATCTCGGAAACGGAGCAATTTCGGACTGAGGTAAGTTGCTTCAAATCGACTTATTTTGACCTTGGGAATATGTGCTATGATTTTGTAAAGACCTTTTAGAGACACCCTGTATATATATATATATATTTGGAATAAGGAAAAAAAGATCTTTCATTTTATCGCATAATATACAGGGTGTTTCATTAAAAAAAAGCCGAAGTTGCCTACGCTTCTCCATTTTCCGATGCGATTTTATTTTTTATGATACCGTTAAATGAAAATATAGAAAAAAACTGTCAAGTTTTGTATTTAATTTTTTTTCTATCTTAAATAATAAAGGCTGTAGGTATGGTGCCAAATATAATCAAAAACCCTGTACATATTTTTCGGGAGTGGTCGCCCCCTCGAATTGAACATTGTGAAACGTTACAGAACTCTTAGAATTTCAGAAAAATTCTAGAACAAACCAGAACACTTCTGAACTTTCTGCAACTGTAAAGAAAGCTTTTGGATCACTCTAGACTAGAAAACACAAAATAAAAGAAAAAGCAACACACATGCAGATTATTCAATACTCAAACCAAAGACTACCCCCTTAAGTACTTGTTACCAATCTATTTAAAACATCCAAAACCTGAATCTAAACACAAAATTTAGAAAATCTAAAGAAAAAATTGAAAAAAAAAATCCAATTCTTACTTGTTCATGTGTTAGCCTCTGTTCATGATGCTTAGAAGTTGAACTATGCCCGCTACTAGAAGTGGAAGGATGATTGTGAGTTGGAAGACTGCCATTTTTAACATTCTGATTCAAATCTGGCCTAGGCACGTTAGGATAAGGACCAGGAACTTGGTGCTGAGCGTGCATCACAGGATGATTCTGATTGCTTATTGCTGTGGAAGCCACTGATCCAACTGGAGATATTTGTGGATGTTCTGTTGGCCTTTGAGGATATCCTAGTTCAGTTATGTTGCCATTAAGGACATGTTGGTTGGCATAAGCATTTTGAATTTCGTGGTTGCTAGCAGGGGAGCCTTCTCTTACTTGTGGTTTGCTTATGCTGGGATCTCGCCTCATTGATGGGTATTGTAATATTTGTTCTTCAGGCACTGCAGGTGGGACGTTGGTGTTGTTTCTTTCTCTTCTCAGCCTAGGCGGACTTGAGGATCTTAATGAGTTTGATCTTGCAACGTTGGAAGTTTTAGGAAGCACAATTCCATTGATTGGTGGTTTTTGATGGGTGCTCAATCTGTTTTCAGACTTGTGGTCACCTCGGACGATGGTTTTTAGGTCTAGGATTTCCGTTGGGGTGATTTCTGAAGGGTCAACGAGTGGTAGGGGTCTGTTAGTGGACTTGAGTATCTGATTGTTGCCCACTATAGAGGCCCATTGCAAAGGAAGTCCTACATACTTGCCTTCGCGTTTATCGAAGCCAGTGTGCACTCTGTGCTCGAAATTTATGGGTGGCGATATTTGCGGTTTCTTTTTCTTCTTCGAGAACATCGTAACACTTTAGTTTAATGAGTTTAGGAAAAACAATGACCCGTTACTAATTTCTAAGAACGTCAACAACATTTGCATTTCTTTAACATAACCTGATTATTGTTATAAAACACTTTTAAAGGCTTTGTACGCCACTAATTTATCTTAATTATTTGAATGTTTCCATTGATTTTAGTTTCAAGGTGTATTAACTTAAAATAAAACAATAATAATTTTGTTACAAACAAAAATGTAAATATTTCTGAAAAAGGCGAGGTCACGTCACAACAAGGTCTTGTTTGACTTTTGACAATGGCTGACCTCTAGCGGCTAAAACTTCAAGCTGTGTATAGCAAAGAGAATTTTTACACATTCTGTGCTGTCTGGATTTACGACTTTCTGAAATTGGCTAATTTTGGCGAAAGCGCATTTTATTATAAAACTACTTTAAGAGTTAACTTAAAGTTAACTTCTGAAAATACATGTAATTCAAAAAGTTAACTGTCAAAGCAGTTTTATAATACCCGCCCTAATCAAGTAACAGGGCATTCGCCATAAATTATAGCGAATTTTATTGGAAGGGTTAGTGCGCGGAGTGTATTCATATCTTTTATTAACAGCTTGTATAAGAAAGAGATAAAAATACATTTTTTCTGCACTGTTTCTACCAATAAAATTTGCTTAATAGTTCTCTGACAGTGACAGTAACCAGTAACCAAAAGTCAAAACACATAAAACCTAACCTCAAACTTGATCCCCAAAAAAATTAAAAAATTACAAATTTCAACTAAAAATACCAAATCATGTCTCGATTATTCCGTGCCTACGGTGAAATGTGCGCCAACCATCCCTGGGAAGTCATAGTGGCAGTTGTCACCCTCACTACATGTTTCCTGACCCTGGAAAAACAGGTAACGAGCCCCAAAAAGCCTCCCGTCTGTGTAGGTTGCTACGAGGAACCATTCCAGGCCGCCGACATGGTCCTAATGACCGTTATCAGATGTCTAGCGATCCTCTACAGCTATCATCAATTCAGGCATTTGCAAAATATTGGATCTAAGTATATATTAGGCATTGCTGGGCTGTTTGTGGTGTTTTCCAGTTTTGTTTTTACTTCTACTTTGTTGAATATTTTGAACGTTGATTTGGTGGATCTTAAGGATGCTTTGTTTTTCTTTTTGCTGCTGATTGATTTGTCCAAAGCGGCTACATTGGCTCAGTTTGCCTTGACTGCTAGCAACACTGAGGAAATAAGCAAGCAAATTGCCAGAGGAATGTCTGTTTTAGGCCCTTCATTGACTTTAGACACAATCGTTGAAACGTTAGTTATTGGAGTTGGTACCCTCTCGGGTGTTAGAAGACTAGAAATGCTATCATACTTTGCTTGTGTATCTGCAATTGTAAATTACGTAATATTTATGACTTTTTATCCAGCTTGCTTGAGCTTGATGTTTGAATTAGCTAAAATTTCAAACTTTTATGGAGAAAACCAGCATTTGGTCAAAAAAAAATTACTTGAAGAAAATGACAAAGGCAATCCTGCTCTTCAACGTGTAAAATTAATAATGTCCTTTGGCCTATTAGTAGTTCACGTACACAGCAGATGGTCTGTTAATGAGGATTTTAAAAGCTCCATAAACAACAACAAAGAGGCTGTTAATTGCTCAGACGATACAACTTTTTATGGTTTTGTAATGAAGCAATTTGTAATTAGTGCTGATCATATAGTAATCCTTATTTTACTATTAACTTTGATGGTGAAATTTATATTTTTCGAATCAAAAGACCATTTAAAAGAACAATTAGAACATGATGTTTTGTTGGAAATTAAAAGAGACATTCAAAAGAAAAAACATATAAGAACAACTTCAATTAATGCAGAAGCTCAAACTGAAGGATTTAGTCCAGAAGTTTTTGAGTTTGAAGATGGAGTTAATGATAGAGACACTGATGTACCCAGAAGCCTTCAACTTTGCCTGGAAATATACCGCACAGAGGAAGGAGCCAAAGATTTAGCAGACAAAGAAATAATGATGTTGGTGGACACCAAACACATTCCTGCCTATAATTTAGAAAAGGCTGTGAGAAACCCCGAACGAGGTGTGAAAATTAGAAGGAAAATTTTAGCCAATCAAATGAAGCTAAATGCTGCCTTTATTAATATGCCTTACAAAAACTATGATTATGGGAAAATAATTGGGGCTTGTTGTGAAAATGTTGTGGGATATGTACCGGTACCTTTAGGAGTAGCTGGACCATTATTGTTAGATGATAGACTTTATTATATTCCTATGGCTACTACTGAGGGATGTTTAGTTGCTAGTACAAATAGAGGTAAGTTATTTTTGATAATTCTTTTCTGAGTTTTCTATAATTTGTGACATGGCTTTTTTCTCGGACTTTACACTGAACTGGCAATAAATTTACCAATATTCGCACCTATTATACCCTGTTCAAAATATACAAAAAAACTCATTATTTTCTAATTTTCCAATCTATTTATTTAAAAATCATCTTAAACTATTACGAATGCCTAAACCTAATCAGGAGGTTTCAATGTCAAATCTAACCCCCTACTTGTTCCCTATGTCTTCTTCCAAGAATAATACATTTCCAGTGGCTTATTTTCCTTCCAATATTTGTCATTCACTTGTCCCAATGTCTGATTGCCATTAAGTTGTACATATTGCCCGGCACTGGGGGAAATGTATATGCAAAAATTCAACAAACTGTGACTGGCAGAAAGTTGAGAGTCCAAATCCAAAGTTAGCCTCATTGCCAAATATTTGTGCAAATGATCCACTGTAGCGTTTGCAGTAGTTTTGATGTACCTAATTGAGTTTTCCTTGAGGGCTTTAACCAAAGGATTGTCTCCAGACATTTCAGTTGGATGAGGCTTAAAAACTAGTTCAATTTCATTTAAAGTATGCGGCTCAGAAGGACCTTCGCCATCAGTATCAGTTTGTTCTGTTTGAGCAGTTGAATCACTTTCTTCACTTTTTTCTGAGGTCAGTACACTTTTAGGACGTCTCTTAATCGAACTTACACTGGAAGATACTGGACTAGGTGGATCACACGGGGTGCTGCGTCCTGATGGAGCAGGACTACTTGGAATGGTATTATTTAATGGAGTTGTTGTAGGTGTTTGGTTGGTGGTATTATTTTCAGGTGCTGGTTGAGGTTCGCCGGGTTGTTCACTGGTGACAGTTTCATTGGGCTTTCTGCCTCGAGGGGCTCGGTTTTGGGACTGCAATTTGATGCCTTCGTTGATTGACTGCACGAACGCCTCTCTGGAGTGAACTTTGTTCAATTTGGCCAAAACTTTTTCTTGGTGGGCTTCGTACTCGTCTCTGCTTGGATATATTTTGGATATGAGCAAGTCAAAGTTGGGATCCGCACGCAAAGACCTTTTGGACACAAGTTTTTTCCTGCAAGTTGGGCATTCCTTGTTGCCTGACCTTAGGGCTGTTATAATGCACTCTGAACAAAATCTGTGCAAGCATTCTTTTGTGGTCATTGTTTTTTTCAGCATGTCTAGGCAAATGGGGCACATCAATTCGCTGTGGAGGCTGCGAGGGGAGACTGCGATTTCGGTGTTGTCCGTAATCACTTCTTGCGGTGTCCGGTGCAGCTCGTACAAGGAAAGTTCCCATGTTTTATTGAGGCCTATTTGTTCGGAATTTGTCATTGTGGATTTTCAGTTTTGATGAGCGATTTGTTTCAGTATAATTATTAATTTGGAAATTTCGGCAATTAATCAGTGGTCGGACATTTTACAATATTTACAAAACAAATATGGCGATTGGCGACGCTCTCTGACTGCTCTTCTTTTTTTCACTGTTCTTGGCTTTTGCCTGTTACAAATATTTGTTGGGCATGCTCACTCCGAGTGACTCCATTCGCGCTCTAGCCGTTCGGGTATCGATTTTTGGCGTATTAAATACGGCTGGAGTGCGACCGAAGTCACTCGGAGTGCACGGAGCGAGCAAGCTGAACCCAGCTCAAATATGGCGATTAGGCCCTCAACACTTCAAGAGCCGGTGGTGTTTAAAATTTGATTATTAAATACTGGCTCTTGATTTGTTGGAAATATTTCCTAATTTCACTTTAAATTTAGATCCATGTTTTAATTATTACTGAATATTTTTTTCAAAGTCCCTCAGGAGCCAGTAATAGTTCAAAAATTGATTATCGATTATCACTGAATATGTATATGCAACCAATGACGTAATTGTATGCAACTAACTTGACATGTAGACATTTATTTGTATTATGTAGTTACTAGCCAAGTGCTAAATAAATAAAGTTATTATTATTATTATTATTATTTACAAAGATTTGAAAAACGTGGCTTCCATGCTATTCAAAAGGCCCATCCTCAATCAATCTGGGACTTTATTCTCGAAACCGAGGAACAGGCGGAACAGCGCTCTCATGAGAACGATTGCTCTGTCATTGTCAGTGTTATGAAAATATGAATACGGAGGACGAAGACAGAACCTTCGTTCTGATGAGAACGCTACTCCCCTGTTTCGAGAATAAAGTCCCTGGTAGCGAAGTGGCAAGGATGATCAATGAACTATAACCAAAAACTGGAATGCCAACACATAAGGACGAACGTGAAGCCTAGTGCGGCTGCTGCGGAGGAAATACCTGTTTTTGTCGCACTCATTATGTTAAATGGCGAATGACATTGCAAAGGAATATGTCAAGTATAACCTTAAACGAAATTGCGGTGAGTTCAAGTAATATGTAAAGTATTAGTTTGCTCTTTGTCAAATTACACGTTACAAAGAAATAAGGAACGATTGATTCTGAACTGGCTCCTGAATAAGAATATGACGCAAGCCTGTCACAAACTTGCTTCTCATTGGACGCTCACCTGCAGCCTACAAGCGACGCGCGCAGTCCAGGTAATAGGAGATCGGTCTTTTGATGAAACCTGTGAAGGGAAATATGACAAAGCTTTCGAAAACGTCATATGTCAGCGAGCAACAGAAAAAAACAACATTCCCCCTTGTGGCATCTGTCTTTCATGGCTTCATTTTTTGGCAGATATGGCACTGTGTGCGCATTCCAGTTTTTAGCTAAAATCTGTGAGATTCACACCTACAGGATTGCTCATCGCCTCGTTTTTGATAATCGCCGCCATATTGGTGTCACCATTTCCGACGTCATAACTAAGTCGTCAGCTGCTGAAGCAGCCTACGTCAAGGCGAGAAATAACATGCTGGCTACGTCACAACTGGTGATTTGGCGTGTGGCGGGGGGGAAGGTGGGATTTGTTCCACACAGGCCTTATGAGGATAGGCTATCCTGTAGTAGTAGTGTGTATCATCCTTGACTTTCAAGCACCAAGAATTACAAATTGATTTGACTATTCAAAAAACAACCTATTAACTTTAGGAACCTTGAAAAGTACTTTCTTCCATTATCTCTCTTTCTCTCTCTGATTACAGTCATATACTTTCATCTCTTTTGCGAGAAGGATATTTCATAAACCGTATCGTGCAACCAAAGAAGTATTCACTCCAAAAATTATAGAATAAAATTTTTTTGGGTAAAGATAGATTTGTACCGTTCCAGTATCATGACGTGAGACGCCTGTCTTAGTGTCAAATGTGTCAAATTTTAAAAATAATCATCTGTTTGTGCAATCAAAACTATATTTTTTAAAATGTTCAATCTTGAGATATAACAAGAAATAAGTAAATAAATAGCCACCCACGGATGTGACAACTGACAGGTTGACGCGTACGTACAGCTCGGGAGCTCAACGCCCCGAGTAGCTCCAGGCGTCACACTTCCATACTGAAAGCGGCTCAGATGAGCATTTGTAGTGACGTCGCTTGAAAATCTATACCTCAATAAAATTAGGCTATCCTCTTTGTTCAGTTCAATATTTCATTCTCTCTCTCTCTCTCTTTCTCAATATGAAGTATATATACTTCATCTCTCTCGCGAGACGAAAATTCGTCACGCGGTTTTGAAAAATCACTTTCACACAATAAATGATAATAAATCTATTATTATTGTAGGTTGTCGAGCTCTAGAAAAAACAGGCATAAAATCGAGAATCGTCTCGGACGGAATGACTCGAGGCCCCGTTGTCCGTTTCCCATCGATAACCCGAGCAAGTGAAGCCACCGTTTGGCTCAAACACGAAGAAAACTTCAAAAAAATCAAAGACCGATTCGATTCGACTAGCAGATTTGCCAGATTAACTAAATTATCGACGCACATTGCCGGACGTTATCTTTTCATTCGGTTTATAGCGCAAACTGGGGACGCTATGGGTATGAACATGATTTCAAAAGGCACCGAGTTAGCGCTGACATGTATACAAACCCACTTTGACGATATGGAAATATTGAGTCTGAGCGGCAACGTTTGCACAGATAAAAAATCGGCAGCTATTAATTGGTTAGAGGGCAGAGGCAAGAGTGTAGTATGTGAAGCGACTATTCCTTCGAACATCGTGCACTCGGTGCTGAAATCCAGCACTGCTGCTCTAGTTGACCTGAACATATCAAAAAACCTAGTGGGATCAGCCATGGCGGGAAGTATTGGCGGTTTCAACGCTCACGCAGCTAACATAGTCACTGCCATTTTTATAGCGACTGGCCAAGATGCGGCTCAAAACGTAGCCAGCAGTAATTGTATAACTTTGATGGAGCCTTGCGGAGAAAAAGGAGACGATTTACTTATTTCTTGCACCATGCCTAGTATTGAAATTGGTACTGTAGGGGGTGGCACTGTTTTACCCGCTCAGACTGCTTGTTTGGACATGCTCGGAGTCAAGGGGCCTCACATGGAAAATCCCGGTGCAAACGCCAAACAACTGGCTAAGATTGTTTGTGGAGCTGTTTTAGCTGGCGAGTTGTCGCTCATGGCTGCTTTAGCTAGCGGACATTTAGTCAAGAGCCATTTAAAGTAAATAATTATTTATTTTTTTTTTGCGCTAATTTTGTTATTGGTAATGGTTTTTTTTTTAGGTATAATCGTTCTTATTCTGCCAAAGATACTCCTATGGAGATGAGCATAGCCTGTCGAACATGAAGAGGGAGATTGAATCTATTAGGTGATTTTTAGCTAATTATTGTGAATAGTGCAATTTTGTCCAATTAATTGTTGCTGTTTTAAGTCCACTCTTTATATTGTTTATTTATTAATTAAAGTATTTATTGAATTTAGTATTTGGGCTATTTAGTTCGAGCAGATTTGTATTACGTGTTCGGAGTAAAAAGAGCGCTGTACCTGAACGACTCGAAACTAGAGTGAACTTCATTCACTTGACTCTGGAGGGGGAGTGTTTTATGACGTCATCTGTATGCCCAAACATGTATCCATAAGGCACCCCAGGTGCGTCATTAAATTACCCATTACCAGGCAACCTATTAACTTTAGGAACCTTGAACTATGCCTGCGTTTTCATTCTCATATGACAAAACGTGACTTTCGTTAGGGGGACAAACATGTCATTGAGGTTATGTGTAAGACACCTAATTTCATTTTGACTTCTATAGCTGGGTTCGGCTATTCAGCGCGGAGTTGGAGTGGAGTGAACAGAGCTAATGGAGTCATCCCTAATACGGTAAAAAGCAATACCCGAACCTTAACCCGAACGGCTGGAGTGCGATTGTAGTCACTCGGAGTGCACGGAGTGAGCAAGTCGAACCTACCTTATCTTTAAAAAAAAAACTTACACTTGGCCAAACATAAACTGTGTTTTTTTTAAAGATAAAAGTCAAAATGACATTATGTTGGCAATACAATGTAAAATTGTCAATGCTTTTCAATTTTTTTATGTAGAAAAGGCTTGTGTTGCCAACGTAGTTACTAAATTTTTGACTTGGGGAATTATCTTTAAAAAAAAAACAAACTTTAAAAATGGTTTTGGAAACAGGCAATATTTTTTAAATTTGCCTAGTGTAAGTCAGGCTTAACAACAGGAAAATGGTTATGTAAAAACGTGATAACCAAACGCTTGTAGATGAAATCTCAAAGATAAAATCACAAATCCAATAAAATTTCAATTCGCCATAAAGTCAGAAATATATCAATCAATTTTATCTATCTTGCTGAGAAATTACAGACATTATACTCTAGTTGCTTGGAAATTACGAGAGATGGGGCCACATATTTAAAATCAAGAAGGCCAAGATTTATAGCATTCATTCCCAACAGCTTGATTGAAAATATATTCAGAAGACGAATTTCCAGGTTTTCTTTTGAGAAAACCATAAAAAAGAAAACTACCTGAAAATGCAATAGAGCTTCTAAATTGATTCTAGAATTCCACATATTTGTGATGAATAAACTTTGGACTTTGGTTTTCAGATTCACTCAATTGAATCTCTTCTTCAGTCTCAGAGTGCATAGGTAGTTGGGAAAAAGATAAACCAAGTAATGGAAACCCAATAAGCGGAGAGCTCAAGTTTAATTCATAATGGAAATACCTATAAATGTAAGAAAAATAGTTTGTTCTCTTCTGACGTAAGATCTGATCTAAAAAATATATGATGTATGATGTATCCTATAGCCAGTTTAGTTTGTAAGGAAATAAGCAATTTGAGAAAGAAGAAGATAAAGAGTTGTTTTTCTTCCGCTTCATCTGAATTCATGAATTTCTTTAGAAGTTATGTTGGTGCTTTTTTAAGTTTGCCATTTCGTCTGAAGTCTAGAAGTATGTACTATTCAAGAAAAAAAAAATGAAGCTGGACAAGTTGTTGATAGAGGAGGTTTCTAGATTCAAAAAGAAAAACTTCTGTATATACATATGACAATTCTATTCTGGGCAATAAAACGAAATGTTTACCGAAAAGCGAGCGGCGCGAGCGTGTGTGTGTTCGCAAAGAGCAGAACAAAGCCAAAACTCAATTGTAATATAATCGTAAATGGTGAACATCGCAACTGCGGCCTGCGGCTCTAATATTAACGAGGGGGGCCCTCCTTTGTGAAACAGTATTTGCATTTGCCACTGCCGAGAACAATAAATACCGCTCTTCGCTCTGTGTGGTGCGGCGTGTCGATTTACCAGAACCCGGATTCTGGGATAAGCGCTTGAGCATACACCAACGACGTCTGAGAATATAATTTTCAATTTTGTTATGTATCATCTCGTTTTCTATGTGTCTTAAGTTTTTGCATATAGCAAGATCGTTTGTTAATAGCAAATATGACCTTTCTTATATGAGGCATCTTTTAAGTAAAGTTTTCAGTGGAATTTTATAGATGTTGGAAAAAAAAAATAGGTACCTAGCTCAGATCAAAATTGTAGAAAACTAAAGCTAAAAGTGAAATTAACATTTGAAAGCGGAAGGAAGTAGGTACTTTGACTTTGAGAATTATGGAATTACCAGCTCTATTGGATTTTGGAGTTTCTTTCAATTTTATTGTTTTCTCATTTTCCTCTATTTACATATTTCTCAATTTTCATTTATTCCCGGCTGTTGAATTTGTCAAGATAATAAAAATTTTAAAGTCTGATGGAAATAAGAATACATGAATGACCATCAATCAAGCAGATGAGTTGAAATTTTCAGAGATTGTATAGTGCTCTATTGGGATAAGAGTCGCTTAAAATTTTAGCTTTCTATCTCTTATAGAAAAAAAGTAATGACCTTTCAGAAAACCTTCTTACGAAAACGATGGAATTTCAATTTTTTTGTTGTTGTTGAGATTTTGTGTCCTAATGGTCCCTTGGGATCACCTAACCTCCATACACTAAATTATTCTGAGATTTGGAGCCAGATTCTATGAGAAAAGGCACTCAGAAAAATTGAAAAATTGATAAAAAACTCCAAATTGCTTAACACGATTTTATTTATGGAACTATAAGTTCAAATGTAGGTATAGTGTTAAGGTATAGTGTAGGTACCTAGTAATATCTATAAAACGGGATCATGTCTTTAATAATGCAATCATTGATTTTCTTTTAATCTTCTAATGAATGAAACATTTGTACTACAGTGTCCAAAATGTACCATCGTCACCAAAAGTAACTGGGACACAAAGAATGCATAATAATCTCCTGGACTAATTCTACTGTCATTCATTTCAATGCATTTAATGCATAGTTTGACAAATATTTGACAACAAAATTCATATAATAGGACAAGAGCTAATGTGATGCTGTCCCAATTACTTTTGGTGAAGATGGTACTTTCCACAATTTTACATAAAACCTATGCCAAAATTATTTTAATACAGAAGTAGCAAAAACATGGGAAGGTTAGGTCTGTCATTGAAATGGACAATAATTGGATCAAAGACAATCTCGGTATTCTCGTTACTAGAAGATAAACTCTTCTTCTCTATTACCTCATTTTCTGGATAAGGTTTAAAATGGGACACTCCAGATGATATTACAAACATCTTTATTAAAAATTCAAAAAAAAAGCAATTTTTGGACGACAATCTTTGATAAAAACACCCACAGATAATAATGTGATTAAGCTATGAGTAATAATACGAATCTCAGGAATTCTGAATGTGAAATCAACACATGCACTATAGTCCGTATAAAACATGTTTTTTCGATTTACTTAATCCCCAAACTACAAATATTTATTTTAAGGATTAAGATTTCGATCCCGGTCCTGGTTTCCGGACACCCCGAAAATTGCCCGACACCGATCTCCCGTCGAAAATTAAATAAAAGAGGAACTAAATTTGCGTCCTCGCTTCTCTCTGAGTGACATAAAAGCATTAAAATCGTCCCCACGTTGCAGCAAAGAGAGATATCCTAGTCAATTTGATACGGGAGATTTCGGGAGGATCCGGGCCATTGGATTTTGGTTTTCGGAGGATTAACACTCAGTGTCGGAGCAGATAGTTATTTGCTTTAAAGATTTTTTTCTAAATCTGGCTTACAGCGCAGAAAACGAGAGGTTGGACTGCGCAGCATCATTGTCAATTTCAACTTTTCTCTGGAAATATAAGGATTTATTGCTGCTACTCACATTATACAATTTGGAAGGATTTTCTTTCTAGGGAATCAAAACAAACGTGCATATCCTTGTCTTGGTTTAGATTTGAAAGAACATGTCAGGTAAGTTATTCCTTGTTTAAAGGGTATTTTTGAAAAATCAATTATTATTCTGTGTCAAAATGTGGTAGGAAATAAACCTACCTTATTCCAAAGAAATTTCCCTGAAATTGACAACACTAAATTAACAACGCAAAAAACGAGAGGTTGGACTGCGCAGCATCATTGTCAATTTCAACTTTTCTCTGGAAATATAAGGATTTATTGCTGCTACTTACATTATACAATTTGGAAGGATTTTCTTTCTAGGGAATCAAAACAAACGTGCATATTCTTGTCTTGGTTTAGATTTGAAAGAACATGTCAGGTAAGTTATTCCTTGTTTAAAGGGTATTTTTGAAAAATCAATTATTATTCTGTGTCAAAATGTGGTAGGAATTAAACCTACCTTATTTCAAAGAAATTTCCTTGAAATTGACAACACTAAATTATTAACAACGCAAAAAACGAGAGGTTGGACTGCGCAGCCTCGCTGCCAATTTAATATTTTTTCCGAAGATTTTTAATTAGTCCCTCCCTGATGAAAAAAACCTTTTCTAGAGTAGTGTGTGTACATTAAAGACACCCCCATATACGATTTAAAAGATCGAACCGGGTAGGTAATGATATACAAATTGAATTAAACGGATGCCAGATAATTTTACGCTGAAACAGATTTCCAACACCGACGACTAATTTGTGTCACTAAACTTGTTTTGTAACTCACTCATATGGCACAAAGCGATCTAAATAAAAGGGATTTTAGAGAAATTAGTTTAAAGAAAGTTGCATAATTATTATATTATTGAACCAGTGTGGTGTGGTAACGGTTTGAAAGAGAGAGGAAGATTAATTATCTATTTTCCAGTCGAAGAATTACTGAATATATCCGAAGGGTTTATCGAACGACAGGATCCAGGGTGAACAAAGGCTAATCCTCGGGGGTTGAATCAAATCATTTTCTATTGAATCCCGCTATTTGTTCTCGGCTTGGTGCCGTTTACACCACTTGCCTAGATCTCTTTATGATCTCACACCGATTTTCCTCTTTTGTCTTTTATCTCGTTGAACAGTGGTGGAGTGAATTAATTTGTATAGGTACATTTTATACAAATTATATATATTTTTCTAGAAAACTTGTTAATTGTCCT